TAAATTTAAGCCGGCAGGAAAAGTGACATCATTTTTGCTCTGGATTATCGGGAGTAAAATGGAATTGATATTGTTTGTTTCAGTCTTCTAGTGAAATGAACTGGTTTGATTGAATATCGCTAGATTGTCGGCGAAAACACCCTTTCTTTCTTTTACCTGAAACTAATCATGGCACATCTTTCTGATATGGGATCGATCAGGTCGGTGAAATGAGTTAACCAAGACTAAATATATGTGCGCGCGTTTCCGACAGCGTGCTAAGTGTTCAGTCCAAGTTTGAATTTGTCGCTTATCATCTTTTTCTCTCTAATTCACGTGCTGAATTTGCTTTGAATCACTCTAAATAATCCACACCCTGTGTTTGTTAATTTACCAAACCGACAGCTAGCGTGATTTTTTTTCGGTTTTAAGATTTTTTTAGTGTTGAGTAAGTCTATGTATCTTGTGTTCACGCAAAGGTTTTTTACAGACTCTTGGATTTTCATCACTACAGTCTAAAACATTCTGCTGTGATGGTAATTTTCTTGAGTTTGCAACATGAACGTTTTTACGGATTTACAATTTCCAATAAGACCTTCAGAGGTTAAATGAAGTTAAGAATTTAGTGATAGATTGGAAAGGGAAGTTTGGACGAACGTTAGAGATCAAGAATCTGGCCTGCTCGAATTATCTCCTTGATTAGTCACCGCTGCAGCTGATTCAGTAGCTATTTCAGTTGATATACTCTTAGAGTTCCTTATCCATTCTTTCCCCAAATTCTTAGCTGTCATTTATATCCATCTAAAAACTTCCGGGATGGAAAAATTGAAAGGGGAACTGAGAAGAAATTTGTTGCGATATTTTCAGTTGAAAATCATCAGTCATCGGTCGTGCCGTGTTCATGCAACTATTCCTAAATTCTGGTGTTTTTCTTTTTCGCCATGATCTAAGGAGCCAATCGTCATTTATGGTGGCATGAGCAGCAGTTTATGATAGCTTTAGCCAGTGATCCTTCTGAGTTTTACCCAAAGGTAACCAAGAATAATCTATACCTGAAGCACTATCTTTAAAGTTTGGGTTCAATGAGTGTACATTTCATGTAATGGCCTCAAGTTAAGCTTATTTTTCAAAGTTTTACATCAAAAATATATTTCTAAAAACTTTCCGTGTTGCTATGTCTAATTTGCCTCAAACTCGAGATTTTAATTTCTTGAAGACTTTGACGGAGCAGTTCCTAGTCGAGTCGTTTCTGCTTCGTCCAGTGTCCTCCGGATCAGGAAACGGAAAGCGAAACAAAAGGCACGAGATCTTGAACGCTTCCTCTTTTGTTGGCATGATTTTCCTTTTCCGCTCGCTTTGAATTTCTTGTTTTTTTCTTCTAAGTTTCGGAGCATCATAGACATCTTTGATTGAGTAAGTAATCTACTTTTAAGGATAAAAACCGTACAAACAAAACAGGCCAAGGAAGCGGATTATAGCCGCAGTTCATATGAGCGGAACTTGCGACTCACGCCCTCATTTTGGGTTAATAGCTGGCTGCCACTATTTGCGTTAAGATCGTTAAGAGTCACCGCAAAACAATAAAAATGTCGCTCTGAGTGATTAGTAGCTACCAGAACAATTAAAAGCGTGGGGGTATGGTCAACGACTCTAGATTTGCGATACCTAAGGGCACGTATATTGCATTGACTTCATTTTAGGGGGTGTTTCTGAAACAATAAAAAGGAAACACCCACAGGCAAAGCATTTCCAGAAACTCTTAAGTGGGTCGTTGCTGCTTTTGTCGCAAAGGGATGACGATTTTGTCAAAAGCCACACATTAAACTGAAATTGACTGATATCATTGCGTATCTCTAAAATGACTTTCTTTTCCTTGTCTGGAGGGCCCAGTTCATCAAGCACTCACGACCAAAAGGATGTTTGTACTGACCTCACGCGAAATACATAATAAAACTACGATAGAGGTAAATGATAAAAAGTTTGGAGCTGAAAATGACACAATTTCAATGAATACTAAATCGAATATGGCTTTAAGTAGAGCAAACAGTACGTACAGACCAAACCGAGAAAGTAAACTAATAGAAATGCTGAACGATCAACCCGTTTTGTTTCAAAATCCGCTCGATTGAAGTCAATAATTATCAAGAATAAACTGAATGGTTCAAAATTGTTCAAAAATTGAACCTGACAAGAAGCTGGTTGTGCCATCCACCTCATGAACGTTAGTAAATCCACAAATCCCCGTGACACGAGAATAGTTATTAAATAGTTATAAGGGGTGTTTGATTTTCCCTGAATATTGCGACTGAACAATCCTTTAAGAATCCTAAGGCTGTTTCCAATCTTTCCAAAGAATTCATCATCATCATCATCATCATCATCATCATCAATCTTTATTTATACACGAAATCGTATCATTTTACATGGTCTTCCTAGGAATCGCGTTTAAACTAAACTAAGATACTCTAAGGAACTATTGACTATAATAATATTAAAAATACAAAACTTACATCGTGAATAATTAGGAACTATTAGCTATAATGTTAAAAATACAAAAACTTACATTGTTGGTAATAAAAGTTACAATGGTGTATCAGAAAAATCTTTCCCATGAAATGAAGTTTTAAAAACATTTAAACTAGGCAGTTTTCTAATCTCTGAGGGAATCCTGTTCCACAGAACAGATCCTCTGTAGTGTAGGCTCCCTTTTGCAGACTCAGTTCTGGGTCTGGGGCATAATAATTTAACTCAGAATTTCCAAGATTGTGTGAATGTACATTTGAGTTGTTGGTAAAGATCCGCCTCAGATACGATGGGGAAAGATTATTATGGATTTTATACATTGTCACAGCTAACTGTTTAAGTCTTACATATTTCAGCCTTTCCCAGCCAAGTTCATCCAACAAAACACTTGAGCGAACGTCATAATTAGAAAAGGTGAGAATTCTAGCAGCCCTATTCTGCAGCTTTTGAAGTTTGTTTGCTAGACCCTTATTGATATTACCCCATACGGCACCACAGTGATTAAAATATGGCATTACCAGTGCATTGTACATATTCACTCTAGTATCAAGTGGTACAAAATGACTTACACGCCTTAAAATAGCAATGCCAGCGGATATTTTTTTTGAAATGGTATGAATGTGTGGGCGCCAGTTCAAAGATTCATCAATTTGAACTCCAAGGGTTTTAATTCATTCATAAATAGTTCCAGTTGTTCACCTGATAGTGTCAAATTAAAAACATGCAATGTACGCAGGGCTTGAGTCCGCTCGGAATGTTAATTCAAGATCGGTTTTACTGCCTTTTTTCCTCGGTTTTTCGGTTTTGGAGGTTTTTTTCTCCAGGTTTGCGGTTTCCCAGAGGCTCCAATGCCCCCCATTCAACCATCCAACCTTTTCAGCAAACACGAGCCGTCCATGTTTTGTCTCTAATGTCTCTGCACCACTAAAGCCAGCTTTATCCGAACCTGAACTCCGGCTCATGTCCAGCATAAGTCGGCGGACCAATGAACGTATGACCGTCAATAGAATTTTATAGAGTAGAGAGGCAGAGTAAATATACTGAAGGGAACGAGATGGGGAAATCGATTTTCTTTGAACCTCTGAGACATGCTGACGAAATTGATACGATTTATTTCAGTTTTGTAGAGAGGAATAAAGTGGTGTAACTTGGAATATCATAGAAGGATTTATTGTCGACTAAGCGAGATTGTCATTATGTCAGCTTATGTTTAAGTCAGCTCAGTTAGCGTCTAGCAGAGCAAAAGGGAAGCTAGCTCCGAATTTACCGCAGGAAAAGAAAAGAATAATTTGCGAGGAAGGTGCGCAATGAAACTGACTCGGCCGGTAAGGGTGAAAATCGAAAGATGAGACAAAGGGTCACCGATTTTCACTTGGGGATAGAGCAGGCTGTACTTTTTGATCGGCTGTTGTCAATTCGGACTTACTGTGGTTTGTTCCACTACAATAGGGCACTTGTCGATTATGTGTTGTGAAAGCAAAACCAACAGAACCACAGTAAGCAAAATATCTTTCAGAGCCAATGAGAACTAGTAAAACAAGCAACCGCGGGAAAACGCGGGCCACTAAGTCCTTATTAGTTTTAAAGGCTGATAGTTTCTAAAGAAACTGTTTGGGGCTGCGTCGGTGGGGGTAACGAAATAATTTGAATATACGGCTAAGGTAAAAAACGTCGTCGGAGCGAATTTCGAATTTTTTTTGAAACCTTCGTCGGAGCGAATTTCGCTCCGACGAAGGGCTAACGCTCGAAACGTCAGCTCTTATAATCGTAACGGTGGCCAATTTACCTTTTCAACTTTGTTGATATATTCAAATTATCTCATTAGTTTTAGTTTTGCATCTGATTGGTTAGGAAAGTGGCGCGAGTTTTCTGTACCAATCACGTTGATGAGTAGTTGTTTTACTAGTGAATCTTTGAGGTGGAGGCTTTTTTTGCGCAGCGAAGTACGCCACTGAAATACCGAAGGTACAGCATTGGTTTGAAGGCATATTTTGCCCGCAATACTTTTCTTCAAGTCTTCCATTTTAAAATGGTGCGAGCAGACCATGGTTGAGTCCAAGACTTTGAAGCTTTTTCCTTCCTCTCGACGGATTGCATGAAGCCATTGCTTTCTCGCGAGTTTGTCTTTGGGAAACTTGAAGTAGGATATTTACGTCGCGATATCTCCTTGTAGTCCATGAAGGAACACAGCAGTGGCATGGCATTGTACATATTAACTTGAGCCTTAGCTATATTAGTTGTCGGTTCTTTGAGAAATAAAGCTTTTTGGATCGATTAATAAATTGTGCCGGAAACTTTTTGACAAGCGCTCACAAGTGCACAAATCCATGCCCGGGTGGCCTCGTCCCCATGCACTAGTTTTAGTCTTCACTCGGCCGCCGCCATTATGGCAAAGGTGTATATCCTCATCTTAAAATGTACTTCCTTACCTCTTATATGTGACGCATATGTGATATTGCATGATTTTTAGTAAAATTTCAACAAAATGAAATTTCCTCTCCACATAACAAATTTATTAAGTTACTACTGAGTCAAAAGTCACAATATTTTAAAGTCCTTCCAGACTGATATCAATAACAACAGTCACTATAAATAGATGAATCATTGATCATTGAATTAAACTTACATGCATATGATGCCCTTAAAACTGCGATCGTGTCATTTTAAATCTGAACTACCTATCTGTATAAACTTAAGTACGTATTTCTCACTTGAATGTCAACATTTCTATAACAAAAGGTTTGGGATTTAATTGTCACTATTTATTCCAAAAAAGTGTTTCTTAGTATTAGGAATCCCGTCGTAACTTATGTCTGGAGAAAACTAACCTTCCCTCTTAAAACCCTTACGCGGAAGGGGGAAGAAAGAGGAAATGGGGAAGCGAGGTACTCTACAAAAGTACTGCATGGTCCCCTTACAAAGGTACTGCATGGTCCCCTTACAAAAGTACTGACCATCGCCCCGATGGTCCCCTTTTTAAATACCAATTCGGCCGAAAAGATGAGTGCTTTCGTATGACTTCTTTTCGATTCAGAGCCCTTCGAATGACGCATATTAACGATATTTCTGGAGAAAATCTGAAGCCCTCATGAGTGCCTAAATGATATTTTTCCTACTCCCTTTGAGTAGTGTAAGCCTAAAAAAAAAAAAAGTACCCTTTGAAGCAGAGCCTTCCCTACAGGCCATTTAAAGGAATAATGCTTGGAGATAGCTATTTCCTGTCCCAGCATAATGTGTATTTCTCTTTAGCCTTTGGCACTCAGACTATCATGTACATTCCCCTAGATACCAATCTTCAGTTAAATTTTCGCCTGTTCAATTTTCAATCAACTTGGGGGGTGTAATAATAACATACCTTTAATTCTCCAAACTGAATTAGAAGAAATTGTACAGCTGCGAGAGGAGAGGATGGCGAAAAAAATCGTGGAACGGCTAAGGTAAAAAAGCTAGTTCTCATTCTGGAGTATTGGTTTCGGAAATTACGTAAAAAAACCATAAGATTGCTACCTGGTCGTCACATTCAGTGACCTGAGAAAATCAGAGTTCTGACGATTCTATTTTCAGTGTCCACTGGAGACTTGGAAACAGAATACAAAACATGCAAAATATATTACAAACACGTCGTGCATCGATATGTTTTTCTATCTCGGTTTACCTCTTTTTACTGGTTATATATTATTTATCACTGCCGTGATCGAGCAAACTAGTTCTCTGTGAGGTGCATCGAACGAATACACCCGAAGCCGATTCTCATTATACTGAAAATGTTCTTTAATGTTTCGTCATTCTTTTCGATAAAATAAAAGAGCTGCCAGATCACTTAAGATTGGGTCAAGGACAAAGGGACCACAGAAAGAAAACGATGCGATGATCATCTAAAATTCGTGATAAATCTGTATCAAACTGCCCCTAATTTGGGTTTCAGAGCGCGTGATTCATTTGGTTTCCAACCCTTGGAAGGTAACATCCTTCTCATTACTCCTTGATTACTTCCTATTGGCACCAACGAAAAGTACCCCAGACCATTCAAAAAAAAAAAAAAAAAATCTTAATGCTTATGTTTTCAGCCTTTAATAATTCAACAGAAGGGAGAGGAATAGTTTCAAGAAAGGGGAGGGGGAAGAGGTAGGAAGCTATGGATAGAACAAAAACGGTCAAAAGAAAGGAGGGGAGGGGAAGAAGGAAGCTATGGCTGCGACAACAGTGGAAAATAGAGGGGAGCGGAGAAGGGAGCTATGGGTAGAACGACAGTGGAAAAAAGAGAAGAGGGAAGGGAAGGGAAGAGAAGGGAGTTATGGCTAGATCAATAATGGAGAAAAGTACCTTCGGAAACAGGGAAAAACGATATTCAATGACTAATTTTTTGTTCCTAAGTCTATTGCTGGTTCCAATCCACACTCTTTCCCCATTCAGCTACCAAGATCACCCCTGTCATTTTCTTTCGGTCTTCCCCCTACCCAACCCACCCTCTATAATCTAGTCCTCAGGCACTAACACATTTCTTCATACTACCGTTTCTTTGCCCGGCGTAACTGAATCGTCGTTCCCACGATTCACTTGCGAGTTTAGCGATTCACAGTTAGCATTCCATCTCTCCTTGTGTCTCGAAATGCTATGCGAATGTCTTCGTCGTCTTTTTTTCACCTTTTCCTTCCTCTGCTCGCTGCGATTGCTGTTGTGATCTTTCGACGAATCACCTTTGAGTGTCATTCCTTTTCTTGTACGTCGATGGGTGTTCCTAGTGGTGACGTGCCCAGCAGTATTACTCGTTTTGAGCTGTTCATCAGCTGGCAGTCGCACGTTGGGTGGAGGTCGAGCCATGACCTCAAATGAATTCACATAGATAGCGTTTTCACCTAAAGATCTACTACGCGTGCGCAGGGATAAGAGAGGAGTACCTCGGGCAGGAGATCTAGAAACCGCCGGTACATTGCGAGTGTGAGTACTTTCTTTAGTTAATGTCTCCTGTAGCGACGATGTTCGCCTCCTTGAGCCTGGGGAAGCTTCATCTAGTTCTGAGAACTCCGCTTGTATTCTCGACTTTGCGGGATGATTAAGTAAAGGCGTGGCTCCAATAAGAACTGTCTTGTACATATCAGTGTCGTTGGCATTCGTTTGCTGGTCGGAAAAGCTTCTATTGCAATTGCTTGACAAATCGGACGAAGCGCTAGCTGTGAGGTCACTACTGTCAGACATAGCATTGAGGTGACCATCCCAAGGCGCACCTCTATCGTGGAGGTTGCATTCTTCTCTAGCAGAGGCCCTGAGCTCCTCGTTGTAATTTCCCGCCTGATGGCTCGAGCGCATAGGCTGAAAATGTACGTCCGTTTCAGAAGACTGTGGTAGGTTGTTTGATGACTCCGGAGAAGTCAAGGAGTTGCGAGATTCGGCTATGGAAGGGTTCTGTGATGAGTAAGGTGGAGGTAAGTCAGTTGGGTCAAACACTGGAGGCGGGACTATGCATGACGACAGACCATATTCTTGAAAATTATCAACGGAGTGATATACTGGTGGAGCGTAGGGCGGCAACATTGTAAGGTCTGTCGAACAATCAGCCCAAGTGTAGCTCTCTGGGCTCCTACTAGCATGGGACCTCCTGGAACTGTACCGACTACAAAGTCCCTAAACAGAGAAAAAAGAGAAGACAACTAAATACAAAGAGGTAAGACAGTTTTGTACAGAAACCACCCTGAATGAACCATCTGAAAATGAAAATGTCATGCGAGGAGGGTGAGAATGGGAAACAGGAGGGAGGGGAAATCTTAGCTCTTGGGTAATATGGTCAACAAACGACTCTCTAAATTGTCACGTGAAATAGTTGGAATAAAATTAAACAGGGAGGAAGAGGATGAGAAAACGGAGGAGTAGAATAGAACAGAGGCCGGGGGGGGGGGGGGCAGGAGGATACGATTTACACTGCCTAAGCAGAGAGGAATGAACGAAAACTTTCAAAACATCAATCATGCTCGTGATTCACTACATGCATGTGCATTTCAAGCAATTTCAGATGATTACTAGGGAAAGAACTATGCACAATTAACCAACAAAGTAGTAACTGAAGCGACCACAAGAGTGTTGCTACGATGACGTCATAGTGCATGTATTTCTTGAATCTCTCACCGCCTCCACTCCCCCCCTTTTGCGAGAAAACGATTTACTTTATCATCAAACGAAAACCTGCCATGCCACAAATTATATGAGGACATTTGTGCAAAACTCTTATCCATAAGTCTTTTATGGATCCCTGGTAAATAAAAATAACGACAACTGATGCGGTCAAGCTCTCACCTGATTTCTACTTGTTTGACGTGCCACTGCAGTACATCCCAAGATAGTTGCAATAAAGCATAGTAAGCTCCCGAAGATAGTTAAAACACAAAGTCCATATAACAACCCAGTAAGTAGTCCTGTTATCACGCTGCAGTCGTGCACGCCCTCAAATTCCACTACTCCCACACCTTCATGGCAACCCATAACAGAGGCACAGCACTTGCACCCAGGCCCCGAGATTTCTTTTTCACACATGACAAGTGATCTGAGCAAGCCTCCGGCGTCTCCTGTAAGAATTGTACCTATCATCTGCAGAACCACACATACCGCTGAGAAGAATGTGAACAAACTCATCTGAAACAACAAAATAATTATCAGAAAAACGACACAAAAATATTGTACAAAACAAAAATCATGAATCCAAATGTATTATAACATAGCTTGTAAATTCGTGGAATCAAATTCAACAGCGCGAGCGTGCTTCAATTTTCCATTGTGCACGCTGGTGACGTTAGCAAACAAATACCTCGCGAAAAATTTTTTTCTCGCGAGTGACTGAAGCATTTTTCATTTAAAAACGGGAAAAACTCCCGCAAAAAAGTTAAACTAGACATGGCAACAAACGAACAAGCCGATGAAGATCTGCCT